TCGATCCGATGCTCTCTCGACCCTGGGCCGCTCCTGGCGTCTACCTGATCGCCTGTCTGTATGATAGCTCGGGCGCATTTGCGCCGCTCTCTCAGCTGAGAAAGCTTTTTGGGACGCGCAGCAATAAGTTTGCGCACGAATCTGGTTTCTATGACGAGAAGAATGGCCTGCACCTCTCTACTTCGAGTCAAGCGTACGGCACATTGTCTCGGCCTGTAAGGTCTTCCGGCTCATCATCGTCTGGCCTCTCGTCCGAGTCCGAATCGGATCCTGACCACAGGAACCAGCATCGCAGCTCCGTACAACGACACACCCGCTCCAAGACTCTACAAGACACGGAAGAAATCGCCCCGTCACGAAGGTCTATACGTATCAAGCTACACAGCGAGGAAGGACTTCGAAAGCACCGAAAGACACAATCTGCTAGCTCACAGGCCAAACGCAGTGACGGCACCGCCGTGGCCGATATTTCTGCCCAGCTCAAGTCGCCGACATCACCTGCTGGCGCTTTGACGAAGTACCCGAGAACACCAGCACCACCTCGCCCCCTTATTCCCCGCCGCCAACCATCTTACCTCAACCTCGAACAAACCGATCGGAAGCACCAGAAGACACTGATCCTGGATCTTGACGAAACATTGATACACAGCATGTCTAAGGGAGGCCGCATGAGTACTGGGCACATGGTCGAAGTCCGTCTAAACCAGACCTATGTCGGCGCCGGAGGGCAGACGTCGCTGGGGCCGCAACACCCCATTCTCTACTGGGTTAACAAGCGGCCCTATTGCGATGACTTCTTGCGCAGGGTAAGGCTCGCTCGCTAGATACACAGCCCAGTACATGCTGACGTTGGGCATCCAGATCTGCAAATGGTACAATCTTGTAGTCTTCACGGCCTCCGTGCAGGAATACGCCGACCCTGTCATAGATTGGCTCGAGTCGGAGAGGAAGTTCTTCTCGGCTCGTTACTATCGCCAGCACTGCACGTTCCGACAAGGTGCCTTCATCAAGGACCTGAGCTCTGTCGAGCCCGACCTCAGCAGGGTCATGATCTTGGACAACAGCCCGCTGAGTTACATGTTCCATCAAGGTACGATCTGTGGGGTGTCTTTGGGTTTTTTTCTTCTTCTTCTTGCTGACCTATTCTTCTCTACCACGTAGACAATGCGATACCCATCCAAGGCTGGATTAACGACCCGACGGACAACGACCTTTTGCATCTGGTGCCGCTTCTTGAGGGTCTGCAGTACGTGTCGGATGTGCGGGGCTGCTGGCGTTGAGGGGAGGACGGTCAGCACATGGCATATGGCATAGTCGTTGTAATGACAAAAAAGGGGCAGGCGGAGCGTGAGAAACTTCAGCGGCTTCAACTACGTCTGAAGGCGATTGAATGTGTGTATGTATACCAACAGCGGTGTTGTAGGTTTCCGGGAGTGAAACGGAGTTTCCGAGCGGGTGGGCGCAAAGAAACCAGCATTCAGGGACGGACGGCAACGTCGATAAGCTGGTTCTGAGAGCGGGTTTTGTTCAATTGTTATTCCAGTTTGTCCATAATGCAGCTGAACGACACGTGATTGTCTGTCACGTATGATCCTCCTGGACCTGGAAAAGCTGCATCGACGAGGGGCGGAGGCTCAGGGGACTATGCCGGCCTTTGCTCAACCTGTTTCACGGACAACCTCGTGAAGCACGACGGGGCATCCGACGTTCCTGGGCTAAGGTGCCCCGGGTGCAGCAGAAAAAGCAAGGGTGTGTGTGGGGAGGCAGACGGCCGAGCAAGGTGCAAGGAGGACCACTAAAGGAGAAGAAAGATTAGCGTGCAATTGTGATGCGATGACGCGATGGTACCATCATGCTGTTCTATTAACGAGCGCCGAAGCCAGCAGGGAAAAGTGGCATCGGAATGCGATGTGGATTCACTTTTCGTCTCGAAACAGAAAGACGGCGGGAGATGGGAGTTTGTGGATATGCATCTTGACGTTGCACAGCCACAAGCAAGGAAATGAGCCTTCATCAAGCATCCTCTCCTCCTGGCGTCCCGGGTCAGATCACGACGCCACTTGCTGTGAGGTGAACCTGTCAGGCATATCAGCTACTGGGGCCTGAAATGAGAGGTGAGGGCAGGAGTATAAGCTCCGATGGGCAATCGAGGATCGGCTCGATGGAACAGACAAGGCCCCTGCTGAGTGCCCTGGCAATGAGCGGTTTGGGGCGGGCCAGAACATCATTGCGGGAGCTGGGGCGTGGGCCAATGACGGATTCGTGGGGCGTGTGGGGCACACGATGTTCATCCAGCTTGAGCCAATCCAGACCTGGCGCAAGCGGAGGGCTGGGCAGGGAAGTGAGTGAGTGAGCTGGGGGGAGACGTGAAAGTGAGGTGGGCTTCTGAAATCGGTTATGGTGACATCATTGCACAGGTGACGACACTGGCTGGTTTGGGGCGGGTGCGAGCAGCTTGTTCCCAGCAATGCGCAAACCAGCCGCGCCCCCCTTTCCCCAAAGCTGTCCCCTAACCAGCGGCGGGTGGTCATTAGCAGCGCTGCTGGATTGACCGATCCCGGCTGCGGTACACGATCTGTTGCCCGTAGCGCCTGCCTCAGCCATGTACACTACCTTCCAAGAGGGGTTCCCGAGGTTACCCATGTCATTCATGTTTTGGAGCCCAGGTCACGGGCTTGAGGGGCAAGGGAGCAGGCCGAGTAGGTAGGTAGCCAGCAAGAGCTCCTGCCCTGTTGTGCATGTGTGACAGCCTGAGGACGACGGACGGGGAAAGCTTTCCAGCTGCCACCCCATTCCTCACCTTCTCCCATAAAAGCGTGCCGCGTCCCCTCGTCAGCCGGCTCTCTCTTTCCTGTCACACCGTCATAACGAACAACAACGATCCTCACTACCAATCCAAGATACCCTAAAACACCAGCCAACATGTCTCTGCACTGTAAGTCTTGATTCTCCGAGGATGGACATCCCTGCTTGGCACATTGGCTGCGATGCACTTGTCGATGATTTCGTCGCTGCCTCGAGGTGTTCCAGCATCATCACATGTGGATGATGGTGGCATCCGTCCGCATCATACGACCTCCCCTGGACAACAGTCATTCTAATGTATCTTCGTCAGACCTCCCCCCCGTCAAGCCTTCGGCCATTGCCCTCGGCACCATCTTCAACCACACCGCTGAGCTTGCTAGTAAGTTTTTCCAGGCTATACCCCGCACCGCCCTCTACTCCGTGATCACGCCTGCTCACATGAGATCGTTCAGTCCTCAGCCCCCTCTTCGGCCAGACCTACCAGCGCGCGAAGGCTGCCAACTCCAAGGAGGAGTTCGCCAAGTCCAAGGAGGCTTCCTCCGCCGCCGTCGCCTGGGGCACCTCCCTCGTCGGTTCTGCCCTCCAGGCCTACGGTGTCGGTGCTCTCATCAACGCCACTGGTACTCTGTCTTACAAGGGCGCTTCTTACCTCGGTGCCCTGATCTTCGCCGCCACTGCCGCCCCTGGTGTATGTCTGCCCTTGCTCCATTTTACTTTGAAATCCTCCTAACACCCTGCCCAGTACATCTCCGAGGTCTTCATCGAGAAGCGTGCTCTTGACACCGTCGGCGTGAGCGTTCTTGCCAAGGTCTTTGAGACGGTTGGCCTGTCCGTCTTCCTGACCTGGTGGGGCACCCGCACCAACCCTTTCGAGTAAGGGATAATTTTGGGTCGTTCCTTTAGTCGGAATACCAACAGGGAAGCCTGGCCAGCAGACGATATAAGTCAGCAGCCTGCACCCTATGTGATTATAGTCTGGGACTTGGAAGGTTCAGGAGTTTAGAGATAATGAATTGAGAACTTGCCTCTAACCAATGGATGCCTGCTTCCTGTCGATTGCTATGTGTCTCCCCCTTGTAAACCATTGGATGTAATTGGCATTCGCGTAGCGTGCGCAAGAGCGCCTCTAGCATACATGTACCACAACAGTCTTGCCAGTGCTACTCAGGCAGCTTGAAAAACATCACATCACATGAATGAGCTATCAATATGAACAAATAGTCGTCATATTTTGAGTACGAAGCAATACGCGACACCAAACGCCGGTCCCATCCGTTATGTCCCTGTCGCGCGACATGGCCAGGAGGTATAATACACCACCATACCCACAAAGCTGCCTGGCAGTCCTGAACACTTCCTCTCGCCCGCATCTATCGACGCACGCCGGCTCACGGGCGGCAGTACCCGTCAGCGGCCAGGTTCCTCTGTCTTTACTCTCCTCTCCGGTTTCCAACAGCCTGTCTCAGACATCCGTCGGCGAGATACCTCATGCCCAGAAAGCCTGCCTCGCCGTCTCCTTCTGCACGAGCTTGACGAGCGCATCGTACGACTCCTTAAAGTCCTCGCCATCGTCCTCGTCGTCCTTCTCCTTCTTCTCCGCCTTCTTGGCGCCAGCAGCGGACGCCGTCTCCATGACCATGACAACGGAAGTCGGACGCTTCGTCTTGGCGGCGGCGCCGAGCTCGGCGCGGGAGGGCACGAAGATGTAGGGCACGTTGTGGTCCTCGCAGAGCACGGGAAGGTGGGCGATGACGTCCATGGGCGAGATGTCGGCGGCGATGATGAGAACACCGGGGAAAGAGGTGCGGCCGGGAGCGGCGGCCGGGGACTTGCGGAGCGTCTTGACGACCTCCTTGACGCCGCGCTTGAGGGTGTTGTTCTTGGCGGCTGCGGGGCAGAAAACAGATCAGCAGTTGAACGTGTGGGTGGTCGGCCCAAGAGTCGCCGGCTTCGCGCCGGACGTTTGATCCAATGGGTGTTTAGCTACTCACACTTGCGGATCGTCTTCATGATCTTCTTCATGGCCTTGTCGTCGGCCAGCGGCACGGCGAAGGGCACCGTGGCGCCGGGGATGATGGGGCCGACCTTCTTGACGGCGCCGTCAGTCTCGACGACGGGCGCCCCGGCGGCGGGGGCGGCATTCGGCCCTGTATGTGCTCATCCGGGGGGGCGATACGAAAATAACGATCTTCCATTCTTATCGTTTATGTACTTTTTGACCTTTAACAAAAAGTCCGGCGTCAGAGGGATTCTGATGATTATTCTCCTTTCTTTTCAGGGCGCTAGGACGCCATTTTTGCGACTGTCAAGGCTTATCTAACGAAAAATTGGTTCAAGAATGCGGGATCTGGGAGAATTTGGCAGGACGGATCTTCAAGGGTGGGCTTTACAAGTCGTTTCGTGGTATCGTCGCTGGGCGCAGCAAGTACCAAAGGAAGCTCGAAATTTTTCCCTTTGGATTTTTTTGCGGGGAGCTCGTGTGCCCGCCAATTGGAGTCGGCGCTGGGTGGAAGTATATCCGGGCCGAAATTCTCGGTGAGGTAAGTCGGCGGGGAACCGTCGGTGAGTCGGACGACTTCACGTGACTTTAATGAAAACCTGAGTGAGATGCCATGCGTCGGTTTCTGGCCCTCGGAGCAGCGATTTCAGTCATATTTGCCAGTTATCCCTTCTACTAACGCCAAAAAGCTGCTGCCAGTTGTTGGTTCCTGTGCACAACTCATCTCGAGTGGGTGTGCCGCTCTGAACGCGGTTTGACGAAGGACCCAGTACCATCTCACCAATGAGAGGCTTCGGGTTGCTAATGAGCGAAGTTGGCTGCCTTACGTTTTGGCAGATTTGCCTCATGAAGCAGTGATGTTTATACAGATAGCGATTTGACAGGTAATGGAGTTCTCTGCCTGCAAATAGAGCTCTTTCGTCAATCCGTAGGAAACCACCGCGCACTGAGGCGGATGCGCAAGGAGTTGAGGATTTTATGTTACCTTATGAAGCAATTCACATTAGCAGCCATTGACAAATATGTCAGCGTTGCATCCACCACGCAACGAAAGTAGCAAGATCCTATCGTCTGTATGCGTCACTCAATTGGAATAGCTCTACTCCCTCCCCCCGTCGCTCAGCTGATGTACAAGTGTTTTGACACAAGGGTCTCGCCGTCTAATCATTCATCCTCTGGTCGCTCCAAATTTATTCCTCCTCGTCAGCGAACTCGGCCAGACCGGCCTTGGAGTTCAGGTACTCGTTGCTATTACAAGTTAGTAAACCCATCTCGCAGCGCTCCACGCGCAGAGCGTGTCTGGCAAACGCACCGGTGAATGGCCCAGTCCATGGCGTAGTAGGCGACAACCAGAGGAGGGACGACGTAGAGGACGGAGCCGCGGAAACGGCGGAAGGTGTTGAACACGGCATCGTGGCCGGCGCCGGCGAAGGGGTTCTGGCGGTTGGCAGAGACACCGAATGTGATGATGCCACGCTGCTTCTCGCCACCTGTTTGTTTGTTTGTTAGAAAGGTGTTTTCTTGAATATTACCACTCAACTCCTGGCTTGTTGCGTGTAGAGCTGAGCGGTAGGCTCTCCATCGTCATCGAAGTCTGCTGTCCCGCGTGTTTCTGACGAGCTTCGAAATCCAATGTCCATGGTATGACGTTGTGCCGTTGCGTCGTTGCGTCGGGGGAAGAAAGGCGGTACTAACCGATGTTTCCCCAATCGCCGAGGTAGCTGCGAGGTCAGTCAGCATTGAAACTCGAGAGAACAATTGGCAAACAAAAGACCCGGGGAATCGTCAGTCACGACTGTTCGCCCTGGACGAAAAGCCGCACAGCGCCCGGGCCAATTGCGCCCAGCGCAAATCGTCTTACTGGTTGAATTTGCCCTTGGGGACGCCGCCGCCGCCGAGCAGGATCTGGGAAGGTCTCATGTTGTCGAATCGGGGGAGTGACGCACGAGGTCTGTGTCGGGGATCGAAGGTGCTTGGAGTGTCGAAGAGGATCAATCGGGTGAGGTTCGAAATCCTGTCGAGGTTCTTGCCGAAGTGCACCCGAAACGGTTTAGCGCCCCCTTTGCTACAATGGCCCCGGTTTGTGTCACCTCCGGGCGAGAATTTCCATGACGGGTCGGCGCTGAAGCACCTTCGTAAGCTCCGCCTCAGGTTCGAACGTGTGCGTGCAACTGGAGCTTTTGAGCAGTGCAGCTTCAAACCTTCCGACAGCCGATCACCAGCTCCTTCTCCTGTCTTAATCGCACCGACCCCGCCGACCACAGTCTCGCTCTATCCATCGCGCCGGTGCCGCAATTCCTTCCACAATGGCCGCAGCTCTCAACTTCATCTCCAAGGCGGCAGTGCCGGCCTTTTTGGGTGCCAGCCTCCTCTCAACCGCCATCTACGATGTCCGTGGCGGTTCCAGGGCAGTCATCTTCGACAGAGTGCAGGGTGTGAAGGATGAGGTCATCAACGAGGGCACTCACTTCCTCATCCCCTGGCTGCAGAAGAGCATCGTTTTCGACGTGCGCACCAAGCCCAGGAGCATCGCCACCATGACGGGCAGCAAGGACTTGCAGATGGTCAGCCTGACGCTGAGGGTGTTGCACAGGCCAGAAGTAAAGGCGTTGCCCAAGATCTACCAAGTATGTGCCCTCTTAGTCCCGGCTTGTTCATTCAGAAAATTAGAGGTCTAATCACTGGTTTCCGTTTCTCCAGAATCTCGGCGCCGACTATGATGAGCGTGTCCTCCCCTCCATTGGCAACGAAGTCCTGAAGTCCATCGTCGCCCAATTTGACGCCGCCGAGCTGATCACCCAGCGCGAGGCCGTCTCCCAGCGCATCCGCTCCGACCTCACCCGCCGCGCCGCTGAATTCAACATTGCTCTCGAAGACGTATCCATCACCCACATGACCTTCGGCAAGGAGTTCACCAAGGCCGTCGAGCAGAAGCAGATCGCCCAGCAGGATGCCGAACGTGCGCGTTTCATCGTCGAGAAGGCCGAGCAGGAGCGCCAGGCCAACGTCATCCGTGCCGAAGGCGAGGCCGAGAGTGCCGACGCCATCGCCAAGGCCATTTCCAAGTCTGGCGACGGCCTCATCCAGATCCGTAAGATTGAGGCGAGCAGGGAGATCGCGTCCACACTGTCTTCTAACCCCAACGTCGTGTACCTGCCTGGTGGTGGCAAGTCTGGCGGCAGCCAGATGCTTCTGAACGTTGGCCGGTAATCAGCTTGGTGGATGATATTTGTAACAGTATTCAGGCCAAAAGGTGGCCGCGGCTGGACGCCACTTAAATGAGTGTAATTCTACGTATATCCCCTTTCCAATATGTGCTGGTTATGAAGAAGCAGTCAGGGTCCCCTCTTCCCATGATCTGCCTGTTGGCTGTTTCTGCTAAGCGCATGAAACACAGCTACCAAGAATGAAAGACGTTGGGCCAAGATGTCATACGATACATTGCGCATGTCACTCATATTATACAAGCGAGGATGGGGTCGACGTGCGAATTGTCATTTTTTTATTGCCCAGATGTGGCATGAACTACCGAATAGCTCGCGGGTTCCGCGATCATGTCAATGTGGCTAGCCAGGACGACCGGCATCGCTACTACCGAAGTGATCCTCGGGGCGACATTGACGTTGAAATCAATGTGCAGTCTCTAGGAACTCCACAGTCAACTTGGTGTCGTCAATTCCACCGTTGGCGCCACTGTTCGAAGCGTCCTTCGGTGGAACCATGTCACCTGTAATCTTCTCCAAAGTCCAACCTTTGAATCGCATGTTCTGCCACTCTTCCATGACCTTAAGCAGAGCCAGTTCTCCGGCAGCTCGAGCATCCTCCGCCGAGTCGTGTCCCTGGATCTTGCCTCCTGTCTCCATCTGGATTTTGCGGTTCAGCAGCGTTTCCATGAGCATTTTGAGGCCATGTCGATAAGGTAGGCCGTGCTTGTGCGGGTTCAGTAGGACCGTGTCGACGAGTGTCGGGTGGATGATGCGGACAGAGTTTAGATCGTTTTCCAAGCCATGCCCGATGAGGGGTGTATTAGGGGCGAGTAGAGAGAAGAGAAGGTCGCGTGCGGCGTTTGGTGATGGAACGATTCTCAGCGCAGCCTTCTGAGAACCGTCCGAATTTTTGGTGTTGGTGTTCATGGCGACGGGGGGTATCTCCATGCTGGTCCAAGGCTGAGCTCGTGACATGTCCTCGGGCCAAACACCCGAGAATCGGGAGTTGAGGTCGAGGATTTCGCCCAGAGGTTGCACGAGGACATCCAACATGATGTCGCCGCTGGGCCAGGCAGTAGCCGTTAGACGGACGAGCTCCAGCCCGTTGACCGTGTAGCACATTTCGCAATCAAAGCAGACGGCTCTATCCGACGGCACCGACGGATTCTCTGGCGTTTCGGCAAAGTCCATGACCGCAGCCAGTCGTTTCGGATCAGTTACCTTGAAGACGTGATGCGGGGTCTCGGTGCAGCCAACGGAATCTCCCACTTGTGTTCCACAGCAACGATATCTTTTTTGTTGCTTGGAGCGATCGCCGGGCTGACGTTCGGGGAAGTACGTCTTTCCATAGTGATGTTTGCATACGCCGCCAGAGGTAAGAGCACCGTCTGCGTCTCGGCGCCCAGGGAAGACTTGAAATCGTTTGTCGCACCGGTCACACTTTTCCCATCCTTGAGCAGCTTCAAGCCCTTGGCGTGCCTTTGCGATCTCTGCCTCTACAGGAGGGGTAGGGACATAACCGTGAGCGTCAAGACCTTTGATAGAGGTCACAAGACGGCGGAGTATCTGGACTTCTTGGGCAGGCTTCAGTCCCGTGATGAGGACCTTGGGGGTACCTGATGACTTTGCGTCTGGTCGTGATTTTGGGTTGCGGCTTTGGTGCTCATTTCGACGCTCTTCCGTCCACTCCCTGACGGCCATTCGTTTGTACTGCATAATCCGGTTTTTGACCACGTTGCTGTAGATAGTTGGCTTCTCCGTTGCGCACTTCTCTTCTTCGTCCAGTGCTTTCCAGATAAGGTGCTGGTCAGAGAGGACGAGTTGGCTGTCGTCTCCTTTTGCGACTTTCTTGAGTTCTTTGTTTAGTCGAGTGTACTCTTGATGAAGCATCTTCAAGAGTTGAACTCTAGTTTGGTAGGTAGCAGGGGACTTCTTGAGAAGGCGCGGGTTGAGTGTCTCTGGCTTCCTAGGCTTGGCGGACGGGGATGCTTCGGCGGATGTGGAGGTGGAGGAAGCATTGGCTGCGTGGGTTGCGCCGCCTTTTGATGATGAGGTGCCAGCGGACCCGGTGACCTTTTTGGTGGAAGAGCTTGTCACTGATGGTGTGTTGGTGGCAGAAGCGGAGCGACTCTTGGCAGGCGTGCTGTTGGGGTTTCGATTCAGCGAGGAGCGTTGCGCAACAGGTGGTCGTGATGTGGCTAGTCTCTTTGAAGATGGCGGTGAGATGGGACGAGCTTGCGTGGACAGGCTGCCATCTGTGTTCCGGGTTAGGACGACGGCTTTCGAGGCGGGCTGAGCAGATTTGGGAGGTTGTCCAGGGGTTGAGAAGGTTTGTGGAGGCGAGACGACTGCTCGGTT